GTGTGTGTATATACAAGGATTTTTATTGTCATTCACATCACATGTTACATGAGGTGGAATGAAACTATGTACACAGGGTCCCATTTACATCCAACAAAAATACAAATTGTAAATAAAAACAGTAAGATCTGAGCCATGAAGTAAGAATGTACTACATTCATTAAACTAAGAATACACTAAGCACGAATGGTACAAAAACAATGCACCAAAACAGCAGCATGAAAATGAGTCTGTGAGCAGATGAGGATTAATGAACACAGCAACATGAAGTTTATATATATAGTATATACACATTCCTTCATGAAAGCAAACTTTCATGAAGGAATGTGGCAATTGTTATTACGCTGGATGCCCTTCCTGATCCTGACACTACCACAGATCACCGAGCTACCACAGCCCTCTGTATGGAGCACAGAGCTGCCCTCTAGTGCATCTGGGGGATGGTGGGAGTTAAGGCCCTTGCTCAAGGGCCCAGGTTGGAGGCAGGTGTGGGTGCTTCACCTTTCCCAATACAGTATAATTGGTATATATAAACAATATATATATACATATATGCTGCAGAAAGAAAAGCTTTGCAGAGAGTGGTGAAGGCTGCGCAGAAGACTGTTGGAGTCAGTCTCCTCACCATCACAGACATCTACACCTCTAGATGCAGGAAGAGGGCCACCTGCATCATGAAAGACCCCACTCACTCAGCACACACACTTTTTGACCCGCTCCTCTCAGGAAGGAGGTTGAGGAGCATTAAGTGTAGAACCACTAGACTGAGGAACAGCTTCTACCCGGAGGCTGTTAGACTCATGAATCTCTAACCAGAATAATCACTGTGAAAAAAATCACATCATGTTGCTGCTGATCTGTTTCATGTTGCTGCTGATCTATTTCAGTGTTGATGTGTTCATGTGTGCTCATCTGCTCACACAGACTCATGTTTGTGCTGATGTTCGACGTAATGTTTATATGCAATTAGTGCTTAGTGTATATTTAGTTAATGTTTTTCTTAGTTCATATCTTAGATGTTATTACTGTTTATCTTTTACATTTTATTGTTGGACGTAACTGGGACCCTGTGGACATAATTTCGCTCCACCACATGTACCACATGAGGTGCGAATGACAATAACGAATATCTGACTCTGATATATATAACGTATATATATATATATAGATATATATATATATATATATATATATATATATATATATATATATATAATCAACATTGACAGTTTGTATTGCGCCTTAATTAGTGTGAAGACGGGCTTTTATTTTGAAAGGTACGTTTCATAACCCGGATGTATTTATTGTTAGCTTTAGCTGAAGTATTCACCGTTATCACACGAGTATAACTTCTGGACGACGTGTGGTATTTATGTATCACCATTGTTAATATTATTTTTAGGCAAATCCCTACAGCTACAACAAAAAATATACTTTTTGTTCGCTTAAATTTACATTTTGATACAATCAGTTCCACATGTCCAGTGTTGTAGTAACTTCGTTTTACTTCCTCTGCGTTTTGTTGTCCACGTCCGGATGCTAACCATAACATTAGCCTCATTTTTGCTAATAATCCAAAGTGTGTGTGTTTATGCCCGGTCTGGATGCTGACAGTCCTCACATGTGGACTGTAGCTTTTTAAAACATGTCTGCACACACCGGAGCAGTAAAACCTCTGCGCTTCGGTCAGGTGGTCATCGGACCTCCGGGCTCAGGTAAAACCACCTACTGCCGAGGAATGCAACAGTTCTTGACTAAAATGGGACGCAAAGTGGTCGTGGTGAATATGGACCCAGCCAACGAAGGAACACCTTATCAATGTGACGTGGATATTTCCGAGCTGGTGACCCTGGATGATGTCATGGAGAACCTGAAGCTCGGACCCAACGGTGGTCTTCTGTACTGTATGGAGTATGTGGAGGCAAATCTGGACTGGCTGGAGAGCAAGCTGACGTCACACGGTGACTGTTACTTCCTGTTTGACTGTCCTGGACAGGTGGAGCTTTACACCCACCAGACTTCAGTAAAGAACATATTCTCGCAGCTGACCAAGTGGAATTTCAGGGTAGGAATATGCAGCATCATGGTTCAACAGATGCAAACGTCATAGAAGCATTCAAAGGGTGATAACTTATATTTTCCACTTTCTTTTCCTAGCTGACGGCAGTCCACCTTGTAGACTCTCATTACTGCGCTGATCCAGCCAAGTTCATCTCAGTGCTGTGCACTACTCTGTCCACCATGTTGCATGTGGAGCTCCCCCACGTCAACATCCTTTCCAAGATGGATCTCATCGAGCAGTATGGAAAACTAGGTGATTAAAGAGTCCTGTAGCTTCCACTAAGACACGATACTAGGCCATAACAGATTTTGCTGTTCGATTGTCTCAGAAATTATTGCGATAAACTATAATATTGTTTGAAATTTAATTTAAGAAGAAATGTTGGTTAATTTGTTTTACATGTATCTTTTTGCAACCACCAGATGACAGTATAAGACTGAACCAAAGGATAGATAGTGAGGGAGTGAGCAGTGTGTCTCTTTAAGAAAATTGGGAGGGAGGCCCCTTGATGCTCGGTGTGTTTTGAGCTCTTTAGCATAGCATTTTTCACACAAAGCTTTTAATTAAAAATCAGTAAACAAGTTCTCAACTTTTTTTTGCAGGAAAAAAAACCTTTTTAGACGACGGCACGGGTTTCAACCATGAATTTTTGAGCTTTGACAAGACGGAGGTTTTTTTTTTTTTTCCCCCCTAGGTCGGCCTGTTAGCTTAGCTCATAGCTTAGCTTCTCAACCTAGCTGCTTTTAACAATCCAAAAACATGATTTTGGACAGTTTAAAATGGATTTTACAGAGAAAGGGAGGGGTCAGTGAAGAGCACCCGAGTTGAGTCTTTTGTCATCCAGTGTCTTCAGTAGAAAGAGAGAGACATGAAGAAACGATAAAGTTGATAAATGAAAGTGAGTCGATCATTTTCATTTATCATGCGATTAATTGATTTATTGTTTATCGCGACAGACCTGCACAATAATCAAACACACAAGAAGTGCTGCAGAAAAGGAGCATTTTGTTGAAGCATGAATTTTCAAACTTGTGCATTTAATGCTTCCACTGAAATGTTTTTTTTTATTATTTTTTTATATATATATATACTCTTTTACAGCTTTCAACCTGGATTTTTACACCGAAGTGTTGGACTTGACCTATCTTCTCGACCACTTGGCTGCAGATCCCTTCTTCAAAAAATTCCACCGTCTGAATGAAAAGTTGGCAGAAGTTGTTCAAGATTACAGCCTTGTCTCGTTTGTGCCTCTTAACGTGGAGGTACTGACACACTTGTTGAAGCTTCGCCTCCTGTATGTTCCAACATTTGAACTTTGACACATTAGAGTATTTGATCAAACACGTACTAGTCAATAGAAATGTACCAGAGTTACAGTAATATGAATCATCAGGGAAAATCAGTCCAATCTGTTTCTGCAGTTACACAAAGTTTGCATTCGACTTTAACCTAATGGTTCTTTTTTTATTTTTTACATTTTGTTTGCAGTCGTTGCACTTATGTTGCTCCATGCTACAATGATATTTGTTGATCAGGTTATTGCAGCTGTTGTGGCCTGTGAAAGGTTTACACTTTAAACAGTAATTCTTAATAAGTTGGTATTTTTTTTTTGTGTCAGTTTGCTGCTGCCTGATGTGCATATTCACACACGATGCTGGTCTACATTAGTATACATCAGGAAAAACGGGTTGATTTAATTCTGATGATTCTTTAAGCATAAAAAAAATGTTTCTTCACGATTAGAGATGAATACTCTAACATTAACATGTTAACGTTGCTGTTTATCAGCCTGCCCTGAAAGATTAAAGTGTTAAATGTATGTGGCGTCTCTAGTTGATAGAAACTTGCTCTTCTATCAACTTTAATGCGACTTGAAGAACAAAACGACCAGCTCCGCACCGTGATGCATGCTATTACTGTAACTGACATTACAAGTTACCATGGCGACGTAGTTTGCTAACAAAAACGCTGTTTTTCTTATTGAAACAAACTATAAATCAGCCATTTTTAGAAATATTAAGTTGACATTTGGTATGATGGTCGCTGAGAGTAATGCCCCATAAATACTGAATAAAAAAAAAAAATCGATAGCTGCTAAAGCTAAATTTAAATGGCGTTAGCTCATCTATTTTTACACATAAACAGCTTAAATTTGATGTGGTGATAGCTGAGAGCGTTCTCCGTCACATACTGAATCCAAATCAAAAATCCAAGATGGCCACCAAAGCTTAAAAGAAAAAAAGTCATTGATTTTTATTTATTTATTTATTTTTGCCGTATTGAGCTGAAATGTGGTATAATGGTAGCTGAGAGCGAACCCCAGCACATAGTACTGTCATATGAAAATGTTAAAATATGATGTAGCAGTCCCTGTCAGAGTTTCCTCAGGAACTTTCTAATTAGTATATTTGTTATTTGTTTGTTTGTTTTGTTTTTTCACAGAATGATTTTTTGAGTGTGATATGTAAATGAAATGAAATGCCCATGGTGAATTTAACTTAAGTAGTTAATGTTCTGATGCTCAATAATCCAGATAGATGAATCTAACAAGGTTGAGTCAGGTCTGCTGGACGGATTCTTCTTGTTGAAACAACAAAATTTTGATCATCAAAGAAGAATCCATCCAGAGGACCTGACTCAAGCTTGCTAGAATTAAATAGTTCATCTTTTCAGTTCTTCCAAGATGTTTTAAGTCACTCACCTCATCTTTCACCGTTCACGCTGGTTAATCAGAAATCGCTTTTAGTAACAGAAGCTGAAGACTGAAGCAGTTGTCCCGCAGACGGATCAGACTCTTCAAATTCAAAACGGTTTCTTCCTGTTTTGCTCAGAGACCCATGTGCCAACACCGCACACAGGAGCTGGACATTTACTCTGTAAGACAAAGCAATTCTTCTTGTTTTTGTCCACTTTTAGAGATGACGTTACCTTGGTAACCCCAGATGTTGGACATCAGTTTGCAAAGCGAAAACACACGTTCGACACTGATGTGCGCATCTTATCTCACAAACCTTGGTTAACAAAGCAGCAAGGCTGACGAGGCCGTGTCATCGCGGAGGCCTCAGAGTTTCTCTGAAGACAATCTGTTGATGTGGAAAACTTCTAATTGAAACCATAATTTTAAAAATATCGCTGATACTGCTTCATAAACAAAAAATACAAATGTCCTCCAACAGCATGTTGGTCAAGGATTAAGAGAGAGAGGGATTTTTTATTTTGTTTTGTCTGGTAGTTTCTGTGCGTCTAAAGGAAAATCCCCAGGTCACATGTTTCTTCTTTTCTCCCCCCAGGACAAAGAAAGCATGATTCAGGTCTTGCGAGCGGTGGACAAAGCTAACGGCTACTGCTTCGGAGACCTGGAGGAGAGAAACCTGCAGGCGATGATGTCAGCCGCAGTGGGGGCAGACTTCCAGTTCAACTCGTATCCTTCACTGAGCTGCAGTGACTCATCAGTCCAAAACTTAACAATACACTGATTGTTGCACAGCGTTTAATGTGTCGTGATTGGCATAATTACTGATTATGTTATAAATAACTCGTTTATTACTGTATAATTAGAACATTTATAGGCCTCCTTTGTGTTTTCCTTCACTTTTTACCCTCACAGTACTCTCGGGGTACAAGAGAGATATGTTGAAACTCGTGCGAAGACTTTGGAGGAGGAAATGATGGATCTGTAAGATGAAAGTTGGTGTACCATTCAGACTCGGCAACCTCTGTCCCAGTTGTCCAAAATGTATGGTTGTCGCTACAAAAAGCTAGAAAGACGAGTGGAATGTGGATACCCTCAGACTGCTTCGGACAAACCACGATGAGGAAGACTGTCACCTCATAACAGTGCGCATGATATTTTTTGTACTGCAAGAATAGTAAATATTAACACCAGTGTATTTGTTCAAATAAATCAAAAGATTGTCCATTTGTGTCACGTTTGAATGGATTGATTATCAGTTAGTGTTTTGAACAAAACCAAATATTCAAAAGTTGCTCATTATCTTTAGGAATGAACTGACAAACCTTTATTACTGTGCATCATTGAGGTTTCTGTCACAGGGTTTCGTTTGCAACCTCTCCCATGTCTTTGGAAGAGAAATAAAACAACGTCTTTCTTTCGGCTGCTCCCTTCTTCAGGGGTCACCACAGCGAGCGAACTCGCATAAAAGGTTTGGCAATTTGTTTTACACTAGATGCCCTTCCTGACACAACCTGGGCATGAAGCTGCCGCCTCAGCGTTACAAGACAACAGCACTGACCACTGAGCTACAGCAGCCATAGCAAATAAAATAAATAACGTTTGCAGGATGGGATGGGAGGTGGCTGAGGTCAGGGACCCTGGCGGTCTGACCCTCAGCTACAGAAGCTGCTACTGGGACGTGGAATGTCACCTCACTGGTGGGGAAGGAGCCTGAGCTGGTGTGTGAGGTTGAGATGTTCCGGCTAGAAATAGTCGGACTCACCTCTATGCCTGGCTCTGGAACCAGTTTCCTTGAGAGGGGTTGGACACTCTTCCACTCTGGAGTTGCCCCTGGCGAGAGGCACCAAGCAGGAGTGAGCATACTTATTGCCCCCATCTTGGCTGTGTGTTGGGGTTCACCCCGGTGAATGAGAGGGTAGCCTCCCTCCGCATACGTGTGGGGGGACGGGTTCTGACTGTCGTTTGTGCTTATGCACCAAATGGCAGCTCAGATTATCCACCCTTTGTGGAGTTCTTGGAGGGGGTACTGGAAAGTGCACCTCCTGGGGACTCCTTTGTTCTGCAGGGGGACTTCAATGCTCATGTGGGAAATGACAGTGAGACCTGGAGGGGTGTGGTTGGGAGGAACGCCCCCCCCCCTAATCTGAACCCGAGTGGTGTTCTGTTGTTGGACTTTTGTGCTCGTCATGGATTGTTCATAACGAACACCTTGTTCAAGCATAAGGGTGTCCATATGTGCTCTTGGCACCAGGACACCTTAGTCTGCGGTTCGATGATCGACTTTGTTGTCGTCTCATCTAATCTGCGGCCACATGTCTTGGACACTCGGGTGAAGAGAGAGGCGGAGCTGTCCACTGATCACTACCCGGTGGCGAGTTGGCTTCAATGGTGGGGTAGGATGCCGGTCAGACGTGGCAGGCCCAAACGTATTGTGAGGGTTTGCTGGGAACGTCTGGCAGAGTCTCCTGTGAGACGGAGCTTTAACTCCCACCTCCAGGAGAACTTCAAACATGTTCCGGGGGAGGTAGGGGACATTGAGCCCGAGTGGGCCATGTTCCATGCCTCTATTGTCGAGGCGGCTTACCGGAGCTGCGGCCGCAAGGTTGTCGGTGCCTGTCGTGGCGGCAACCCTCGAACCCGGTGGTGGACACCGGCAGTGAGGGATGCTGTCAGGCTGAAGAAGGAGTCCTATCGGGACTTTTTGGCCTGTGGGACCCCGGAAGCAGCTGATGGGTACCGGCAGTCCAAGCGACATGCGACTCGGGTAGTCACTGAGGCAAAAACTCGGGCATGGGAGGAGTTTGGAGAGACCATGGAAAATGACTTCAGCACGGCTTTGAGGCGATTCTGGTCCACCATCCGGCGTCTCGGGTGGGAAAGCGGTACACCACCAACACTGTTTATAGTGGGGGTGGTGTGCTGCTGACCTCAACTCGGGATGTCGTGGGTCAGTGGGCGGAATAAATTTGAAGACCTCCTCAATCCCACCGGTACGTCTTTCACTGAGGAAGCGGAGCCTGGGGACTCTGGGTCGGGCCCTCCAATCTCTGGTGCTGAGGTCACCGAGGTGGTTAAAAAGCTCCTCGGTGGCAGGGCCCCAGTGGTGGATGAGATTCACCCGGAGTTCCTTAAGGCTCTGGATGTTGTAGGGTTGTGTTGGCTTACGCGACTCTGCAATATTGCGTGGACAGCGGGGGAAGTTCCCATGGATTGGCAGACCGGGGTGGTGGTCCTCCTATTCAAAAAGGGGGACCGTAGAGTGTGTTCCAACTACAGAGGGATCACGCTCTTAAGCCTCCCTGGTAAGGTCTATTTGGGGGTTCTGGAGAGGAGGGTCCGTCGGATAGTCGAACCTCGGATTCAGGAGGAGCAGTGCGTTTTTCGTCCTGGTCGTGGAACACTGGACCAGCTCTACACTCTCAGCAGGGTCCTGGAGGGTGCGTGGGAGTTTGCCCAACCGGTCTACATGTGCTTTGTGGACTTGGAGAAGGCGGTCAACCGCGTCCCTCGGGGAGCCCTGTGGGGGGTATTCTGGGAGTATGGGGTACCAGGCCCTATGATACGTGCTGTTAGGTCCCTGTATGACCGGTGTCAGAGCCTGGTCTGTATTGCCGGCAGTAAGTCTGGCTCGTTCCCAGTGAGAGTTGGACTCCGCCAAGGTTGCCCTTTGTCACGATTCTGTTCATAACTTTTATGGACAGAATTTCTAGGCGCAGCCAAGGTGTTGAGGGGATCCATTTTGGTGACCTTAGGATTGCATCTCTGCTTTTTGCAGATGATGTGGTCTTGTTGGCTTCATCAGATCGTGATCTACAGCTTTCGCTGGAGTGGTTCGCAGCTGAGTGCGACACAGCCGGGATGAGGATCAGTTCCTCCAAATCCGAGACCATGGCCTTGAGCCGGAAAAGGGTAGAGTGCCCACTCCGGGTCAGGGAGGAGGTCCTGCCCCAAGTGGAGGAGTTCATCTTGGGGTCTTGTTCACGAATGAGGAAAAAATGGAGCATGAGATCGATAGGCGAATAGGTGCAGTGTCTGCAGTGAAGCGGACGCTGTACAGGTCCGTCGTGGTGAAGAGAGAGCTGAGTCAAAAGGCGAAGCTCTCAATTTACCGATCAATCTACGTTTCTACCCTTGTCTATGGTCATAAGCTTTGGGTTGTGACCGAAAGAACGAGATCTCAGATACAAGCGGCTGAAATGAGTTTTCTCTGCAGGGTGTCTGGGCTCTCCCTTAGAGTTAGGGTGAGAAGCTCGATCATCCGGGAGGGACTCAGAGTAGAGCCACTGCTTCTGCACGTCAAGAGGAGCCAGTTGAGGTGGCTCGGACATCTGTTTAGGATGCCTCCTGGACGCCTCCCTGGTGAGGTGTTCCGGACATGTCCCACCGGGAGGAGACCCAGAGGAAGACCCAGAACACGCTGGAGGGACTATGTTTCTCGGCTGGCCTGGGAACGCCTCGGGATTCCCCCGGATGAGCTGGCCCAAGTGGCTGGGGAGAGGGAAGTCTGGGCCTCCCTACTTAAGCTGCTACCCCCACTACCTGACCCCAGATAAGTGGAAGAAAATGGATGTATGGATAGATGCTTGCTGATTGTCCCTGTGCATGCATGGGTGTTTTCTGGGTACCCCCCTGGACCGAAAATGTGCACGTTAGGCTGATTTGTTACTCTAAATTGGGCTCCAGAGATCTCCCGTAAAGGAAGAGCAGGCAAAAATAATGGATGCACGGTAAAAGTGCATCGTATGACATAAAGAAAAAAATCACATACAATAATGGGATTTTGTCTAGTTGAGTAAAAACAAAGTTTTTGTATTTCACAACAGAAACATTATCCCTCCGTAATCTTTACCCTTTGGGTTTAGCTAAATCCTGAAATGTTGGTCTTTATCTAACTGAAGTGGCATTTTGATATCTTTCATGGTTTTTACATAATTCCAGTTTAATATTTAGGACCTCGTGAAATTTTACAATAAAATATTTACTGTATTTTTTGGCGTATAAGTTGCGCCAAAGTATAAGTCGCATCAGTCAAAAAAAAGCACCATGAAGAGGGAAAAAAAACATAAGTCGATTTGGCGTATAAGTCACATTTATTATGCATCACTGCTGACCCGTCACATTTATTTTGTGTTTATTTAATGGTCAAAACAGCGTCATTTCGCCTGGCCGGTGCGGCGCCATCAATCCATCTATCCAGAGCTGCTAGCTCTCCAACGTTCCTCCTCCACCAGCTGAGTGAAGCAAGAGCACACGGGAGGACTCGCTGTTGCAGTTCTTAAAAATTTAAAGAGTCATTCAAAAATTATGTTATGAAAATGGAAAAAAAATACGTATATAACTCGCTTCGGCATATAAATTGCAGGACTGATAAATCTATGCAAAAAAAACTGTGACTTATAGGCCGGAAAATACAGTAACTTGGTGTGATGATGTCCCACAGTTGACACTGAGTCTGTTTGAAACTTTCCAGAACTGTAGCAAACAAACTCTTCTCACTCCTAAAAAACATTACACTTCTTTTACAGCTCGTTTGATATTTTTGACCCTTTAATATTTTGCTGAATTATAATGAAGACTGTAGAAGGCCTGGGGCGAGTGCTGCAGCACCTTCTGATACACATGCATGACATCAAAATACATAATAAAAAAAGCAGATTTCATTACAGCTGCGGACAGTATGCTTGATACATACATATTAGTCAAGTCATTTTTATTTATAAAGCACATTTAAAAACAGCAAAGTGCTTATAATAATTAGATCCTAAATTCAAGGATTCAAGGTTCTTTATTTGTCATTCGCACCCCATGTGGTACATGTGGTGGAATGAAATTATGTACACAGGGTCCCAGTTACATCCAACAAGAAAATGTAAAAGGAAAAACCGTAATAAGATCTAAGATATGAACTAAGAAAAACATCAACTAAATATACACTAAGCACTAATAGCATACTAGAAAGTTCCTGGAGAAACTTTGACGGGGACTGCCTATTTATTATTAAAGTATTATTAATAATAAATATTATTAATAATTATTAGTATGAATAAGCAATATTAATTATTAATATTAATCATTATTATTTTTGTTAATTTATTAATTATTATTAAAATATCAATAATCACTATTGATACTATTCACATCAGTAATTATTATTAATATTAAATATTACTTATTAATATTAAGAATTAGTGATGTTAAAATAGATAAT